ATATATATATATATATATATATATATATATATATATATATATATATATATATATATATATATATATATATATATATATATATATATATATATATATATATATATATATATATATATATATATATATATATATATATATATATATATATATATATATATATATATATATATATATATATATATATATATATATATATATATATATATATATATATATATATATATATATATATATATATATATATATATATATATATATATATATATATATATATATATATATATATATATATATATATATATATATATATATATATATATATATATATATATATATATATATATATATATATATATATATATATATATATATATATATATATATATATATATATATATATATATATATATATATATATATATATATATATATATATATATATATATATATATATATATATATATATATATATATATATATATATATATATATATATATATATATATATATATATATATATATATATATATATATATATATATATATATATATATATATATATATATATATATATATATATATATATATATATATATATATATATATATATATATATATATATATATATATATATATATATATATATATATATATATATATATATATATATATATATATATATATATATATATATATATATATATATATATATATATATATATATATATATATATATATATATATATATATATATGTATGTATGTATGTGACTGGCCTTTCTTTTATGGTATTTTTTTATATTTTCTGACTATTGAAAACATTATAAATAATAAATAAATAAAAATAATGTTAAATATTTAGGTAGTTTGATGTTATCATACCTTATTAACAGTGATTGAATTAAATTTATTATTTCTAGTAATTTTATAATTCAAGTAATCTTGACTGATAATGTGCATTTATTTGAGTATCATCATGTCTGAGACACAGACTTTCTATAAGATAATATAGTATTAATAATGCATGTTTTGTATCACATTTTATTTTACAGAAATGCTTTAAATCAGTTGTCTAAGGGAGAGTTTTATCTCTCACACACACACACACACATATTGCATCAGATATGACATCTCTGGCCGTCTTGTTTTAATGATAATTTTTGCTTATTATCTAGTTAAACTCACTAAACTGTCTTTCGATGTCAAATATGTCGGCTGTTCAATTTTAGCTTAATTTCCTTTTTTTTGTACAAAAATGCTGTAATTCAGTCTCAGGGACCTTCATTCGTTTATTTATAGAGATTTGTGTCTGCCTTTGTTTTGTTTCTTTTTTTATTTAAATTGAATTGTCAAATGAAATCAGAGCTGTTGTTTGGTGCCAGACAAACAGGTAGTCTTTGATTATCAGCAGTGGGGGGAGCAAAAATACCCAGCTGCAGCCCCGCAGACCCACACACGTTGTAGGCACACACGATTGAGGTGAAACAATCAACCGATTTCACTATTAACCGTGCTTTAATTCAGTCACGGTTAGTTAATCTCGAAGGCTTCTCAACACCTTGTTTCTGCATGGAACCAAACCGCTGCAGCTTAACAAAGTGATGCCAACTGAGTGCTAGTTTGAAGTTCTGAGCTTGTACACCAGTGGTGGCCAACCCTGTTCCTGTAGAGCCACCTTCCTGCAGATTTCAGTTGCAACCCATGTCAAACACACCTGCCTGTAATTATCACGTGGTGTTCAGGTCCTATTTAATTGTTTCAGGTGTGTTTGATTTGGGTAGTCACTGAAATCTGCAGGAAGGTGGCTCTCCAGGAACAGGGTTGGCCACTACTCATACTGGATTAACTATGGCTGAGGCTATTAACTAAGGGCCAGTCTCATATCGTGTGTTTTGCGCGCAAGTTGGAGCGACGGACTTGTGCTTTCCAGATGCATCTACTAGTTAAAAGAATGCCGCGAGCGCCCTACACTGAGAAAACAAATACAAATGGAAAAACGCCAAACAATTGTGTTATATAGTTGATCAAAAGCCTTTCGGACAGAGGTTTGGCAGCCTTTGAATGCAATTCTTCACTGTAAAAGGGAAATACTTGACTATTGTGGAACTTATATTTACATAATTCTACTTCATTCATTCATTGTCGGCTTAGGCTCTTTATTAATCCGGGGTCGCCACAGCGGAATGAACCGCCAACTTATCCAGCACGTTTTGATGCAGCGGATGCCCTTCCAGCCACAACCCATCTCTGGGAAACATCCACACACTCATACACTACGGACAATTTAACCTACCCAATTCACCTGTACTTCATGTCTTTGGACTGTGGGGGAACTGGAGGTAACGCAGCATGTTAGGGCGCTCATCAGCTTAAAAAGCGTTGCACGAGCAATATTTGTGATAAGAAAGTCATACACGGCAACAATAAAAGCAGCCTTTATGAACACTTACTGACAACTCACCCTGAAACTTATAAAGAAGCGGAACAAAAACAAGCTGCTCAGTGTTCCTCTGCTCAGTCTCCCTCTGTATGACAAAATACATTATAGGAGGCGAACCTCTCTCTCTCTCTCTCTCTCTCTCTCTCTCTCTCTCTCTCTCAATTCAATTCAATAATTGCTTCATTGGCATGACAAATGTTTTGCCAAAGAATTTATGAAGTTCACATTAAAAAGAACATAGTAAACACTGCAAATAGTAGTATAGTATTAAATAGTACAATTATAATATTTAAATACAAATAAATATTTAAATACAGATAAAAATAAATAAATAAAATAATCAGCTCTTTTTCTCTCGTTATCATTAGGTGAATAAGAAAAAATACATATTAAAAGTGTGTGTGTGTGTGTGTGTGTGTGTGTGTGTGTGTGTGTGTGTGTGTGTGTGTGTGTGTGTGTGTGTGTGTGTGTGTGTGTGTATCTATGCAGTGTGTATATACAGCACGAATGTGTAGTGTGTTGGATGTGTGTGCGTGTATGTATAAAATGCACACAATATAGATGTGTTCGT